AAAGAACAAATGTTGCAGATACAATCGAATACAAAAGCCAAAGGTACTAAATATAGAAGCAAAACATACAAACCTCATCGGCGTTTTTCGTATACAAGAAACGGCACAGCTTGAACTTGGACTCTAACTGAACTAAAACTAAACGTGCAAGGTACAAAATCTGCATAATGAAGGATGTTTGAATGTGTAAGAGTCCCTTATGACCTAACGCTTGGTAGTTCGTGCATATAACGATAAAAATACCACCAAGTAAAGAGATGCTAATGCACATACCGCAGTAACAACCAAGCTGAGATAAGATCGTGTTTATCGATTACTTTGCTCAAACAGTAGTTATTCCAGTTGAGGTTGGGAAATGTGCGTGCAATGCGTGCACAGGCATCCTTCACAAATCATACCACTGTATCGAGATTTTTTTAGTCACATCAAAGCTGTTTAGACTTTGTAAGTTCTAAGTGCGACATTTTTTCATGTTGGATTTCTCACGTGTTCAAAGTTTCTTATTTAAGTCTTTTCACCCAGTAACTAGCCAACGTTTATACTTATTGTTTCATTAGCACATTTTTCTTTCCGTCATTTTTGATTGCCGCCCTCTTGGTACCTCGCATAATTTATCGATATATCTGGCATGGCTTAGATGATCCCACATGTGTGAGATCACTTGGGGTGGATACATGGCCTTACCTCCATTCCATCATCAGCATTGCACTGATGAGGCCCAGAAGGCCGAAACAGTACTGTCTGCAGTTAGCTATATATATATATATATATATATATATATATATATATATATATATATATATATTTGTATATATATTTGTATATATATTTGTATATATATTTGTATATTTATATCTGCAGCATGCCTGTCTTCTTCCATTAAGCGCAGTTCAATAACTTAACGCTGTTTTTGCTTGTCTTTTCCCTTTTTTTGGCCATGGCATTTTGCGGGGTAAAATTTCCGCACAACCCCATTCTATTGTAAAACAAATCTGTTTTCCCAATCGCAAGGTATTGTTTTTGTCCTTGTTTTCTCTATCCAAGAACTGAATGCATAATGTAGTATGGGGCCGTACGGAAATTTAACCTTTTGCGGTATTGATATTGGTCTTGCACTTAATGAAGTGGAGGTGGTTTATCTCACCTGAGTCACATGACACAGAGAACAGATAATTAGTGATGAAGTCGATTTTTTTTCTGCCACAGAAGTGGTTTGTATACTAGCAGTGAAGAATTTTTCAAAACTCATATTGATACATGGTGATATGGATCATTCTTTGGTAGCTTTCTCGTAGTTAGCCATTGGAACTGTTATCTGATTTCCAGGAGAGACTGTGATGCTTATTTTAATAGATGTAATGCAATACGGTTAACAGAATGACTTGAATTAAAACAAAACCCAAACAATTTGTTCCTAGTGCCATTCATTGATCAAGTTGAGTCACATATTGCTTTTCTTCTACTTTGCTATGCTCTGATGAAATTCACCCTTAGCTTGTCGACTAAATGAACTCAACGACTAACTGATCTTAAAATGCTCCAGAACTAAAATAAAGAGGAGGGTCTCAATGGGGTGATCGCTTTCACGGCCAACGGTTAAAATTTTGTTCATTTTAAGCCTGACGATCAATTTCATTGCGTTGCAGTACAAATTTGCCTTTTTACAGTCAATTTTTTAACTCTTTATGGTTAAACTTTGTTATTATTTACGCCTATGAGCTAATTTTTTTGCCGTTTATGACTAAGGGTTACTTGACCCATTGAGACCCTTAAAGAGGAATTGGTTTGTTTGAAAACGCTTTTCAAAAATGCATCTAAAACTGAGCAAATGACAAGCTCTTTTCAAAACCGGTTGGCATACACTTGCAAATGAACATAGCAGATTACCTAAACAAATGAAGTTAGCAAGAAGTAAAGAATATTCAATGCTTAATGATTAGAAAATGGGAAGAGACGAGTGATGCGGTAATAGGTACCTATACAGGAGAACGGATAGGCTCTTTGAATCATTATTATAGCTAAAGTTTGATTGGATGAGGTAAGGGAACTTTCGCAACGTAAAGTGAGAGAAAAAAATTAAAAATTAAAAAAGGAAGGCTGGTCAGTTTGATCGCCCTCACTTTCTTCATTCAGTGGTTGCCAACCTATAAGCTTTGCGGAAGCCATAAGACCAACTGGTTTTCCAACCTGCGAAGTCGTGTAATATTGCTGAGCGATTGCAAAGTTAGGAAATTCTGGATTTATTGTTTCACCCAGCAGTAAAACAGTTAAGAGTGCAAGAATGGAAAATTCTCTAGCAACTTCTAAAACCGAATAAGATGGGCTTTCCTATTTCTACAGTTGGCTACATTTGGCATAATTTGATAGGCTAAGTTGTTAGGAAAAGATGTTAAATTCACTCGACTGAGCGTATTTGATGATCGAAAAGGAAATTCTTTTTTCTTTTTTAATCCAACATCGCGACTCGGTCATTATGGTGTAACTCTCGCCAGATTTACTTGTTCATTGTTAATAACTTTGACGGCCTTTCGCAACGTGTCAAAGAGGAAGGCAAAGGGTTTATACGTGTCACCTAATTAAGGCCAAAACTAACACGTGATGCGCCGTGAATTGTACAGAAAGGAGAGCGTGATTCGTGAGTGAGGCGTGATCTGCCCCCTTGCAATATACATGACCCGTGGGTTTTTGTTCATTTCGCGAAAACCTCAAGATTTTCTCAAACCTCGCAAAAAAGAAGAGAGCTTTGAAGTACAGTTGGCGTATCATGTTTTCAAAGCTGATACTATCCGCAGAACGGAAGTTGATCGAAATCGAAAAAAGAAGCTCCCAGGCGAAGTCTGAGTTATCCTAAACCACTAAAATTTCTCTCTCGAGTACACGAAAATATCGCCAAACTGTAAGATAAAACTTACGCATGGTTTTCAAGCTTTACAGTTCGCAAGCTGACACTTTCTTCTTTTACATCCTCTTATACTAATACACGAGGTTGCAAACTTGACTGCGTTACATATCACGCGTTACCAGCGAGAAGTGGTAAGTATATAGTTTCTTCATTATATTGGATTTCGCTTCAGACACTAAAACAAAACAGTCATCATTCAGTTTGCCATTCAGCGTTAGCCATCATCAAGGCTGTTGCTGAGGGAAGGCGCCGACTGAGGATGGAATCCAAAGCAAATAAGAATTCGCACGTTCTTATGTTTGGCCTTTCATTCAACTTAATTCTGACATTAGGCTCACTTGGTTTCAGTTGCTATTCTCTGCATCGATTAGATTCGCGTCTGACAACACTTGAGCAAAATTCTCTGCTCAAAAACTCCCCGTACCATATTTCCAATCCTTTTGCGTGAATTTGAATAGTCAACGCAGTGTAAGTTTTACTCTGTTATCCTTCCTTTTTTCACAAATCCTATTAAATCCTTTTATTAATCTTTTAAACGACCTACCAAATTCTGTGACTGGATTTAGGAGAAAAAGAATACCTCCAAAGAGAGCCTTCACCGTAAAATCCCGTTATAATCATTTACTCGCCATGTCATCCAGAGTTGTAGCAGTCGACAAAGTAGAAAGAATATGTCATTGATAATTCGTTTTAACGACGACGGAAGACGCTCCAATGTCCATTAAATCGCGGCAACTTCCTCAGTGTCTCATTCCTCATTGCTTCACCTTTCTCTTTTCGTTTAACTTAAAACTATTTGTTACATTCAGTACTGTTTTTTTAATCTGGTACACTGTTTTATAAGAGGGTCTCAATGGGGTGATGGCTCTTACGGCTAACGGTTAAAATTTTGGTAATTTACGACTAACAACTTATTTCTTTCCTTTATGGTTTGCTTTTAGAGCTAAATAATTTTACGACATGTGATGTTAAACGTTGAAAGTATCTACGCTTATCGGCTAAATATTCTTGGGTAGTGGTCGATTGAATTAATTTATTTCCTTTCTTTTTTTTCTTCAATCCATAGAATTGGACCGTGGAAAGAAATCAGGGAAATGTTGTTTGCGTTCAGGGTAAGATTTTCTTTTATACCCTAGTGGGTTCAACCACTTGAGTAACGCAGTGGCAGAGAAAAATACACCGGATTAGTATGAAATAACTCTACAAAACACTTCATAGATCGCTACCATTATCAATACCAACAGAAGCATGTTACTAGGTTATATGCTTCTGACACCAAGCAAAAGTCGTGCCTTCTGAAACTGTGTATAGAAACATTACGATAACCATGGTAACTGCTCTCTCTCTCTCTCTCTCTCTCTTGCTCCCTTCAAATAGCTGAGAAACTACGATCAAAAGAATGAGGAATGCGCTCAAGCGCGAAATCAAATAACATCAATTTTCTACACACAATACCACTCAGTGATATCGGTAGTTTCAATAGTAGTAGTTTCGGTGATTAACTGAAACTGGATGTTGCTGTACCAAACTACATATTATAGAATTGTTGTAAAGGGCAGCAAAAGCGAACTTCGAAAGAAGTATTCTCTCTGTCGTTTAGTTGGATGCAAATATTTTTCGACTTTCTTATACAAAATTTATTTCATTTTTAACGTTAATTTATTCATTTATTTTAATACCGTTTCGCAAGGTCCTCCAGGTTCTCCCGGCTTATCTGGACGCACTAGTCCAGATATTCCAAACTATAGCGGTAGAGGTCAGTTAGGTAAGTTGAGCAATGAATATCCATTAATTGTTGTTCTTGTTGTTTTTTTCGTTCTTAACCATATTCACTTGAAACTAATGCCTTTTCATTCCTCTGCTTTTACTTTTCAAAACGATAGTAACAGACCTTTATTTTTCAGAATTGCCACGCTTCATCTCAAAGCTTCCCCCCGCCATAACAGTGAAAGAGACACAAAATGTTCTGATACATTGTAAAGCAACTGGCTTCCCACAACACATGATCACGTGGTACAAAAATGGACACCTTAAAGAAAAGAAGAGGAAGTACTTTGATGTTACTTGGTGAGGATGGACAAAGGAGTTTCTGATATTTTTAGCTTTGTGATTTGATACCTGTAAGAGTATAAAAATATAGTAAAAGATTTTTAAAATTAGATTTAAAGTGACTTTGTGGATTTTGTGGTGGAGTTCTTTATTACGTCATCTGCTATTGTGCTTTTAATTCAGATGTATGTGAAATATTCGTCTAACTATGCGTAGATGAATCGTCACGACATTAATTACCTTCAGAACCTTACGGCGGCGTGTTAAAGGATTCGCTCTCCATTGAGGAAAGGGA